GAAGTAGATTATTTTGAAGAGATCACATTTATTGCTTTCGAAAATGACTTTGCAATTCTGTTGTTGATAACCTCCAAAACTATACAATTCCGCAGATACAGATAACCCGACGCCAATATATGTTTTAAGTAAAGCTCTTTCGTGCGTTGATCCCAGTGTGGTCAAACTTGTAAAATAAAAACGTAATTTGGACCATATTTGGTGACCAAATACAAAACTCACCTAAAATGCGTGTTGAAGCTTTGATGGAGCGAGCTCGTAGCTCCATGGTACCTAATTTTCTGGTTGTTAGGGCCTTGGTCGACTCCGTGGGTGGATTCGGACGTCAATAAAGATGTCTTGTAAGTATGGACTATATATGTAATAAAATGCTAATTTCAAGTACACGAAACTGCACGAAAGTACTTTTGTGCACTTTAGTGCAATGCACAAAACAGCCCTACTAAAGAAGAATGAAACACAAGTGCTAAACAACACAATTTATTCATGCTTTTGACATTTCACAATACGAATACTTTATTTTTGTAAAATTGATCGGTTTGTTTTGGGAACGTCGGGGTCCGGATGGGACCCCAGGTGCTCACCTGTGACGGGGTCACACAGCACCTTGCGCTGAGGAAGTAGGCTTCCTCTAGAGTATATAAACTCTAAGTGAACGACCGTTCACGTGTCCCTGGTCTGAGGGGACGAAGCACTCACTTGAGGGTACGATTAAGACAGATTTTTATTTATAGGTAAACTTAAATCAGTTCTAATACAAACTAAAAGTCACCTATAATGAAGCTATGTAGATATGCAATGATTGGCTCCTAGAGCCCCTGGTACCATGTACCAGGTATTACAAGAGTGACTGGGTCACTCTTCATGTAACTTGGGCACACTTGGGTTTGTACACCGTTACGTCCTCCACCACTTAGGTTCGGTTTACTGACCAATCACAAGAGGGAGACAGAGTCACAAACTCTCATTCTCCGTGTCGAAAGGGGTTCGACAAGCTGCGGGGACGCGGCTGTGGCTCATTTCACAGTTGGAGCCTTGAGCGAAAACGCTCGTCTTCTCGGTTTCCACTTCGACCACATCATGCCTTGCGGTACTGCGAAGGGCGGTGCAAAAACACCCACCAAGGATGCTGCCCGAAAGACGCATGCCAAGACCTCTAAGCGTCACAGCAAAGGCTCGGCACTCCTGGAGGCTACTAAGGTAGCCTCCGAGGCGGTTGTTGCCTCGGGTGACTCGGCTGCGAGCAAGCGGCGAAGCTCACCCCGCCCTCAAAGTCCCCAGACGACAGTCCGAACCCGCGGTTCGCGTG